TATCACATCCACTCTCTATGTTACCCTCTTTACCCACTTATTTTGAACCTTAATTTCTTTGTCTAAAAAAGCAATAGCACTTTTATAATTCTTGCCATCCATTTGTCTATCAGGAGCATTAACAAGCAATATCTATATTTGTGTGTGGCAGAAATAAATATTTGTCAAAAAGTTGTCATAAACAATATCAAAAGACAATATATAGTCAGTTTTTCTGAATGTCATGTTTATTTTTTAAAAATCTTGTTCTTCATTCTGTCCAAAATAGGTAATAACCCAAACTATGTGAAACATGTTGGACAAAATGTTACTCTCCCTTCTCTAGAGAGATTCTATAATTTGACCTCAGTTTAAAAACTAAGAAAAGGGAACATTACATCCTTCCAGGAGAAATATTGATGATTGATATGAAAAAGGTAGACTTTTAGTATTTGCACCACACAAATGACAACCTAGTGGGTTAATGGATGCATATGTTAAAATCCTTGAGTTAGCCATTCCACAATGTGTATGTATTTCAAAACATCATTTACATGATAAATCTGTTAGCTGTCAGTTTTTAAAAAAAAGAATAGACTGTTCTTGGTACCTAAATAAAAAAGCAAGCAAGGGGAAAAGGAGGGAAAAGGAAGAAAGGAAAGATGGGAGGGATGGAGAAAGGGAGGAAAAGAAAGAAAGTAATAAAATTTAAGCCTAGAAATTAGGAAAATAGATAATGGGAAAGCAATAGAAAAGAATAGCAATTAATTTCTACTCTCTACTGTACTTCTAAGATATTAACTTTTTAAAGGATACTTACATTCTTATTATTTCTTTGGATTTCTTCATGAAATATATTTCTCATTGATTAGCCTATTTTTTTTGATAAATTTACTTTAATCAATACCTTTACCTATATTCCACAAATGTTAACATAACTTACTTTTGTTGTCATTTGATTCCACATGATTAAAATTTTCTCTTCTAATTGCTTTTTAAATTAAGGGTTATTCCACACCATGTTTTTAACTTTCCAGATATATGGATCTTTAAAAATACGTTTTTGATTTATAAGTTATACTGAATAATCAGAAATTTTGGTTTATAAGATAAACATTCTGTAAATATTTTACAAGTGTTCTATAATTTTATATTTGTATTTGTTGTCTATATTTGTTATTGCCATCTTTAAATTTGATTATATTTCCTTTACTTGATCTTATAGTATCTGAATATGATTTGTTAAAAGTTTCTAACTAAAAATATTGCTGCATTTATTTTTCCTATCATTTTTTTGGTTGTTGCTTTGTATATCTGGGACAACATTATTTAGTGTATGGACACACACTTCAAGAATAATATAGTCTTTTTTTTTTTGGTACCAGGGATTGAACTCGGGACCTTGAGCTTGTGAGCCAGGTGGCAGAACCTCTGAGCTAAATCCCAGGCAAAAAATAATATATTCTTAATATTTTAATTAGTAAATGCTTAAATTTTATTTAATCTTTATTAGAACCACTATCCTAGCTTTCTTTTCATGTGACATATTTTCTTCTGCTTATTTTTTACTATTTCTGTATCTTTTTAAAAATAGTGATTGTGTAAATAATACATTCATGGATCTTTAAGTTTCTATCTTTTGGTTGGTAAGAATAACTAATTTACATTTATTGTAATTATGATGGAGTTAATTTTAGCTGTATCATTTTTGGTGTTCTTTTACCTTCTCCCTTCTAGTGTCCTTTATTTCCTTTTATTCCCTTTCATGGATGGATCAAACATTTTCTGGCTGTTTTGAAAGTCATACAGTCTATATTTGATTTTTCTAGTGCTTAGTCTTTATTAATTTACTAGTGCTTACTCTTTATTAAAATCAAATATTAAGGGCCAGGGATTTAGCTCAGTGGTGCCTTGCCTGCCTTGCAAGTACAACGTCCTGAGTTCGATCCCCAGTACCAGGGAAAAAAAATCCAACACTGTGTGTGCGTGTGTGTGTGTGTGTGTGTGTGTGTTACTGAGGATGCAATGAGCTACTTCCTCAGCCTTTTAAAATTTTGAGACAAGGTGTCATTATGTCACTAAGTCTTAGGAGACTGAGGCAGGAGGATGGAAAGTTTGAGGCCAGCCTAGGCAATTTTGCTAGACCATTTTCCAAAATAAAATTTAAAAGAGGAGAAGGAGGAAGAGGGGAGGGGAAGGAGGGAGAGGAGGGTTAGGAATACAGCTCAGTGGTAGAGCACTTGCCTGGGATGCATATGCATGAGGCCCTGGGTTCAAAACCCATTGGTGAAGTATCTCCACACTGATTTCCAGTGGTTGCACCAGTCTACACTCCCACCAACAGTGAAGAAGGATTCCTTTTTCCCCACAGCCCCACCAGCATGTTATTGATTTCTTGATAGCAGCCATTCTTTCTGGGGTGAAGTAGAATCTCAGCCTTGTTTTCATTTGTATCTCTTGGATGACCAGTGAGGATGAACATTTTTCCATATGTTTATTTGCTATTTCTACTTCTTTGTCTGAGAAATGTCAGTTCATTTCAGATGCCCATTTTTGGATTGGGTCTTTAAATTTGGGAGGTCTGGGTTTTTTAAAGTTCTTTATAGATTCTGGATAGTAGACCTTTGAGGAACAGCTGGTAAAAATTTTTTCCTAGGGCTGGGGATTTAGCTCAGTGGTGCCCCGGCTGCCTTGCAAGTGCAAGGTCCTGAGTGTGTTCCCCAGTACCCAAAAAATAAAAATGTTTTTTCTCACATTGTGGGTTGTCACTTCACACTATTGGTCGTTTCTCTTGCTGTGCAGAAGCTTTTTAATAAGATCCCACTTGTTGATTCTGTGTGCTAGTTTACGTGTGACTGGGGTTTTCTTCATGAAATCTTTTCCTACACCAATATCTTCAAGAGTTTTACCTAACCTCTCTTCCAGCCGGTTTAGTGTTTCTGTTTTAATATTTAGATCTTTAATCCATTTCAATTTTAGTTTAGTGTATGGCGAGAGATACAGGTCTAGTTTTAACCATCAAGAATGAATAACTAGAGACATTTATAGCTAAATGGATGCACACTGAAGCGATACTCTTAAGTGAAATAAATAGGACACACGTGTAAATACCGAATAGTTTCTCTGGTGTGAGAAACTGAAAGTGTAAATAAGGATCAAAATGTGTAACAGATAATGTGAAATAGGAAGAAAAGGTCCAAAGGGGAAGGGGAAGTGGGAAGGGTAGGGGAAAGGACAGAAGGGAAAGTAATAAATATGAGAAAAGGAAAAAATGGAAACAAAGTCTTTGTAAATAGGAAGGGGTGGAGGGGTTGAAGGGAGGTCAGGGGAATGGGGCAAATATATGAACCAAGATATATTATGTAAAGGTACAAATTCCCAATAATGAATGTCAGCATATTGTTTACCTAGTGTACCAATAAAATTAATAATAAAAAAACCCCCCATTGGTGGGGGGGAAATCTGCATCCAATAAAGACTAGATTTGCAAGTACTCTTGAAGGAGCACTTCAATAAAGAAAAGAGCTACTAAGTGGAGCTGGATGTGGGAGTGCAAACCTTAATCTCAGTACCCTGGGAGGCTGAGGCAGGAGGACACCTTGTCTCTCAAAAAGGAGGGGGGCACTGGAAAAAAGTGTACCTTATATAAAGTTATTATAGTGACAGATTTTGATAAAATTCTTTAAAAAATCAATTAGATTTAGCAGACTGAAATAAGTTACCAGATAGATGAATTGAATAAGGTAAATATATTTAAGAAATGTATTTAATTTTATATGCTTCAGTGAGACTGCAGTTTTCTGTATCTATTCAGAAAAAAGCAAGACAAAAAGATATCAACAATAGTAGCTAAGGGAAAACAAAGTTTTAAGGAGGAGGACATCATCTCTGAAAAGTTCCCTTACATTTGGCAGTGTGACACAGTGGATTCAACGGGCACTTTTCGAGCCTACAGCTTTGATTAATAAATCTGTGCATACTTTTCAGTACTTGGGGTTTATGTCACAAGTTCAATCTCAGTTTAAGTGGAAATAAAATATTAAAGTGAAGCAATGCAATTTCTTGCAAAGATCACTGTTGTTATATAACTGAGCAAGAAGTCAGTACAGATAAGTGTCTAAGATGTGCTTATTTACTTTATAAGTTCTTAATTTGATTAAGAAGAAGAATCTTTTTTTTTTTTTGTTACCAGGGATCGAACTGGGGTCCTTATGCTTTCAAGACAGGCGGCGAAACCACTGAGCTAAATCCCCAGGCCAAGAATCATTTTTCACCTTTGGTGTTCAATGCTTAAGGTACAAGAAATGCTAAATAATGAAAGTATACATGAGTACACTAGTGTCATTTCTTCATAAATTACTAACTCTTGCTGTTAACCAATGATGTAGTAATTGACAAAGATTTTACTATTTTTACTACAGAAGTACGATTGTTATACAAATCCAAAAAATAAATATTATATAGAATAAAAATGGAAATACTTCTTTCATCAATGTTTTTGGTGGTTCTGGGAATTAAACCCAGGGCCTTGTGAGTGCTAGAAAAACACTATACCATTGAGCTATATTTTTATCAACTTTTCAACCATCCAAACTTACACCACATCACAGAGGTAACTGCTGTTAATAGCCTGTTGTATATATTTCTGAATCTTGGACTATGCATTTATACATATATTAATACAATATACACAACTATGTAGTCTTCTGAAAGGAAAGTACAAACAGAACCATATATTGTTCTGCAATTTGCTTCTTTTTTTACTTATCTCTATCTTTTTATGTCAGTAAATAAGAATTTTCCTTGTTTATATTTACCTGTCTCATGGAATTTTATAGGTGGATATCCCATAATTATTGTGTTGATGGACATTGAAGATTCTAATTTGGGGGTAAATATAAATATTTCATTGAGTATAATATTTACTATAAATTTCTGGGAGATAACCTTTACCAAGTTAGAAGACTTCTAGTTAAATCAGAGTATCTTTTCTCATTAATTGGTTAAATGCTGCATAGTCCTTTTTTTTTTTTTTTTTGGTACTGGGGATCGAACTCAGGACCTTGCAAGTGCAAGGCAGGCGCAGTGCCACTGAGCTACATCCCCAGCCCTGCACTGGGCATTTTTTGAGATGATTGTGTAGTTTCACTCATGTGGTCTTCTAATGTAGCAGTTTAATGAATACCTTTCTTAATTTTAAAATATTTTTATATTCCTGCTAAGTTTACAGATATATTTTATATACATTCATATGCCACATAATGACATTTTGGTCAACAACAGACAGTAAACATCAGTTGTTTCATAAGATTATGTTGCCTAGTGATGTCATCTTAAATTTATGGAAGTACATTTTATGATGTTTGCACAATGATGAAGTTGTCTAATGAGTCTCAGAACTCTTTTGCTAAGCAGTGCATGACTCTCTATAAAATATGTCTGTAAACTTATCTCACACACACACACACACACACACACACATATATATGTATTGCTGGATTTAATTTGTTAATTTTATCATGTAATGGGTATACATTTGTATGTGTGTGTTACTGAGAATTGAATCCAGGGCTTTGGCCTGAGCTATATCCCCAAGCCCTTTCTTTATATTTTGAGACAGGATCCTGTTAAGTCACTAAGTTGATCAGACTGGGCTTGAACTTGGGATCCTCTTGCTGCTGATTCCCCAAGTGTGCTAGGACTACAAATGTGGGCCACCACACCTGCCTACCTTTGTACTCCTATGTAAGATTGGTTTATAATTTTTTTCCTCCTTCCCTCCTGCTCTCCCTCCCTTCCCTCCTTCCTTCCTTCCTTCTTGAAACTGTTTTCCAGAATTGATATTTGGCTATGATAGTGTCAGGGAGGGCTTTCAATTGTTGCTCCACTGAACAGTATTTATAATAACATAAGGAATTTTCTTATTGCATATTGTTAGAAGCTGTCTTCACAAGTGACCATGAGATTTAGGCTTGACCAATCCTAAGGCAATCATAGCACAGAATCTCCTGGTACTATGATTTCTTCAGGAAAGGGCATTTAAAGCTAAGTCTGAAACAATTTCCAGAGAAACTAGGATATAAGTCTTAACTTTTCTGCTGTTCTCGGAGCTGTAAGGACATATTACTCAAGCTGCCATCACTCAAAGGTCATTGCCTTTTGCAACCTCAAGAAGAGAGAGAAAGAACCTAGCTGTCTTGTCATTGGGTTTTGACCACTCCCAATGAATGCCTGTATACACATACCACACACATACACATGCATGCACACACACACACACATACAGTCAGACACGCACAACTGAATGTGCTAGTCTCTAACTGCAGAGCAACAAGAATTTTTCTCTTCAGGCAATAGGGTGGCTCTTAAGATTTGGGAATCTCTGACCTATATGATTTTTCTCTACAGGCAGGCTCCTGGGAGTATCCAATTTAAGACACACTTCTGGGAGTTTGTAACATTTACAAGGTTTCCTTGCTTTGTTGCTTCTGGGGTGAAAAGAAAAATAATGCCAACCACTTGCCAATTAATATCTCTGCCAATATTTGAACCCACATCCACCTTTGTAGTCTAGCCCACCTTGTTAGCTAAAAATGGGACCCACACAGAGAACAAAGCTGAGATATGAAGAAAGACTTCATCCTCTGGAGACTAGTTTGCGGAGATGCTTGGAGGGATCTTCCATTTTCACTAGTCAAGATTGTTTTTATTTTTAACTTCCATTTCTCCCATGGTACGCATAATGTTAATTCTGACTATGCCAATCCTCGCTTCTTCCTATCAATCGGCTGTTGACAGACGAGACAGCTTGTCAGGCTGTAGCTTCCATCTCTGATCAGAGAGCTCAGTTTCAGCTCCCAACTTCTATTAGCTTCATCTCTAATCCCACATGGACATTAAAATGTCTTCCCTAGCCAATGAGATCTATTTCTAGGTTCAGTATCTCATAAGCCATTAGTTTCAGTTGCACTTACCACACTGGTTTTGGCTTAACTCTTCCTTTCTGGCATCTGGAAATTTTTTTGTTTTCATAGCTACTTAAGATTTTTTTCCTATGGAAGTAGCATTTTTATATATTTGGACTGTGGGTGACTGAGACCTTCTATACTAAGCCAACTTGTTATATGAAACAGAAATTCAATTATACTATATATTCTGTCTCATTGTCTCTCTCCTGCACAACAACAAACACATTTTTAAAAAAAAATTCTTTCTGAAGCCTCTTCTTTCAGCTTCAGGCTGGATCTGATGATGTCTGGACCTCCTCCAGTGCTATTATCTTGGGCCTTTGCTATATGTTCTAGTACGGGTAGGCAGGGCAGCAGACTGCCTTGTCATCCTCCTGACAGCAAGGCCAAACACATGTGCTGCTCTGGCTTGTCTGTCCCTCTTCCCTTACTGCATGAAAAGACAGGCTGCTGGTACCTTTGCCATACATATCATATCGGTCATTTCCAGAGGCTGTTTCTGATCGTCTGCCTATCTCTCACCTTGCTTCTTTTGCTTTCTTTCCATGATGGGCATGGGAAAATGCTGAGGTCTTGTAAGTTTCTGGGCAACTCCTGGGTAAGGCAGCATAGGGTTCTGCTTGGGGTTCCACGGTCCCCCTTCACCGGCTCAGCCAAGGGGGATACAACCGAGATATCCCCTCTGGAGATTCACAGGATCTAAGCCCTCTTCTCTCTTTCTTCTTATCCATCTTTCGAGTTTGAGAAAACTTTCTTTAGTATCTAGAGCAAGAGAAACAGACTCTTAGAGCATATATTCTAAATCCTTTCCCCATGCCAGCTCCTTAGCTTTGGAAGCCTGAAAGCTAAGAATGGACTCTTTTGTTGTCTGTGTTCTGCTGTGTCATCCCTTCCTTGAAGCAGGAAGATGGACTGCCCCAGCTGCCTGGGCTGGGGCAAGGTCACAGTGAACTGGGAACAATGGAGGAGAACCCTGTTAGCATCTGAGAATCATATTAAATCACAGATGCTTATGCTGTTTATCATCCCCAGCTAGAATTCCATCACAATTTGGGGGAGGAATTCTATTATTTTCTAGTATTCTGTAATTAGCTGATGAATCTAATTAGTATGTTAACCGGAAATTAGCTCATTAAATAATTTGGCATATGACCTCTGTGATAATAAAACTCTTTTTCTTACTCTCCAGTTTTCTAAATTTAAATTAGCTATTTACTCAATTCAACACATTCATTCATTCATTCATTCATTCAATATTTATTAAATATCTAGTAATTATCAGCTATTTTGCCTTTTGTTGGTGGAAAATCCAAGACAAATCAAACAATCCATTGTCTCAAGATGCTTTTTTTGTGTTGGGAACACAAATACTCACCCAGTAATTATAAAGACTGTAATAAGAGTTAAACAGAAAAGGTGGCAAGGAAGAGGCCAGTAACTCCAGCTGGCAAAGTAAGAAATATATTTACAGAAGAGATGACCTTTGATTTAGGTCATCAACATAGGAATATGTGGATGAATAGGTGTTTAAATAGTGAAAAATGGAGGGATCCAGTCGTGGAGTCCAAGAGATAGCAGCCAGTGAGAAGTCAGGAAGTCTCTCTCATAAAGACCCAAGTTTGTAATGTATTTGAAATGGAGGGGTTGTCTGGATGTGAGAGTAGGGGAGGAAGAGGCAAATAAAACTAGCATGAATTGAACTCTGTGTTTAGCAATGGGAAGAAAAATGGGAGAAAGTGGACTCAGGGATTACAAAATGGGGGAGAGAGAGGAACTTTGTGATCAAACCCTTACGTTTCTCATGTGGTAAAAATTTTTAAAATAAGATTTGAATGCATCTTACATTTTAATGAATATTGACACCATTAATTTAGATTAGGATATTAGAAGAGCACTTTAAAAATATGAATGTGAAGTTCCCCTTAGGGTACCACAGACCAACATTCCTATAAGACTACTCAGGAGAGATTTTCCATCAAGATGTTGGAAACGCTTTTCATGAGCATACTCATTCTCTGGGTCTTTTTCAGGAGTAAGTTTGGCTGAGAGTGGTAGGGCTAGGGACCAGAGGTGGAATTATTACCTCAACATTTACTAAACATACTCTTTCTTGCATATTCTGTGTAGCAGCTACCCGATGTTTTAGTTTACTCTTGTCCTATCTTTTTCTAAATTCCAGTGATCAGTACACAATTGAGTACTTTTTATGTGTGTATAATTCTGTAAGTTCTGCAAGTGAAATAATGGCAGGAAACTAAGAGCTTACCATCTAGTTCATGTGAATACCAAGGCAAATGTATAAACGACTATAAAACAACTGATATTAAGCATGTACTAGAGTATAATAATTTTATTTGACAGGCTAGGATAACAGATTAATAACAAGGTAGCAAACAAGTCTGCAATCTGCCTGGCTTGACAGAACAAAAGTTTATTTCTTATGCATAAGGAGTCTGCTACGTGCCTGGAAGATTGTCTAGGACAGCCGTCTCAAGTGGGGTGGCTCAGCATTCTGGACTGCTCTGTTCATGCGTCTCCTCCATATAGACATGTTTTCGTTGTGATCATTGCAGAGCAAGAGTGGGCTGTCAACTACTGTACTGCCAATTAAATACTTCTATTCCAGATGTGAACCAAGTTACTTCTGTTCACATTGCACTGTCCAAACACGTCATGCCACTATGACTAACTTCAAAGAGGCAGAAAGAGCTATTTTCCCATGTGTCAGGATGTAGCCAGGATCAGATATTGATAAACTGTGATAATGCTCACCAGCACACAGTAAGATAAAGTTACTATAAAGATAAAGTTATTATAAAGAAAGGCCCGAGGGCATTCCAGAGCAGGAAGCAACCTTATTGTGTCAAAAATAAGAGACAATTCTGCTTTTCTGATAATAAGTAAGAGTTTGTTCTTTGCGGCTTCTCTTTATTATGCCAACAGGATTTGCCTGGCTGGGGCTCTAAATCCAATACTAGCTCCCAAGCTGGCTGATCTGGTGGACTCTACAAGATTTCTGTGCTTTTTTCAATTTTTTTTGTTCTTTTTCTTCTCTTTCATAAATCTCAGCTATGCAGCCAGGGGAAATGAGATCTATGTATGAGTTTCTGTTAAGGTCCTAGGAGATCTCAGTCTATGTTCTAAGAACTTTTTATTGCTTTTAAAGATATGAGTCTATTTTGCACAAATGTTTTTGGAGTGGTTAAACCAAAGGACTTACTCCCACCAATTAATAATATCTTCATCTTGGAACTTAGATGCTTAGTAATAAAAGGCCATTCAAGGCGCCCTCAGAAATTCAGCATAGGAGTAATAGTTGACCATATTGATCTTACATAAGTAAGAGAAAAAAATGGCCCCAGGGCTTTAGAGACAGTGAGAATACCATTAAATTATAATTCAATGAACAGGGTTTTCATTCTTTACAAGCCCTTAGAAGAACATTCAATGGTTTCCCCCTTTGTTTTGTGTTTATCTCTCATCTAATTGTTAATTACCACTTGGTGTAAAAAGAGAATGAGTCTAATTGTTAAAATAAGGGAAGGTATACTACTCTTGTTTCAAAATTGGAATGGTCAAATTATCGCTTAAAGATTTTTTGAGTTTTTTGGGGGAACATTCATTCCCACATATAAAAGTGCAAGGAATCTGTACCAGTATAATTTCTACATATTTAAAAAAGTTCGCAACATTAAGAACTAGGAAGATTCATGTTGCCATACAATGTTAAATTTTAAAGTGAAAATTAGTATTATTTTAATATTTTATTATAATCACAGGTGCTTTTTGCGATGATTAGGAAATGCAAAAGTAATATGCAGGCTTTACAAGGAATTGCAGCCAAGTAAATAATATTTTAAAAAAAGTCCCCCGCCCCCCATGTCCCAGCGCCCCATTGCGAGCGGTGCCCTCTCCAGGGGGGCAGCAGAGATGCCCAGGAAAGGACCCAGAGAACCCAAGCTGGTTGGGTGAGTGCCTGCCCCAGGGCAGGGCTGCTGCTCCCGGGGCGAGATGGAGGGGCTGGGTCAGGAAGAAGAGGCGGAGAAGCGGATTCAAAGCTTCAGCGAGCCAAGCTCTTCGCCCGCCAGACAGCAGGCGCGGTAGCAGCCGGGTTAAAGCAGCAGCTTGGAAGGAAGGAAGGAAGGAGCGAGGGAGGGACGGGAACAGCAGGAGGAGGAGCAGCGAGCTGGGCTGCAGCGGCGGCGGGAGGAGCAGCGGCCCCGGAGAGGCCACGTTTTGTTTTTGTTATTTTTCACCGGAACAGTTCTCGCAGGATCTTTGGAGGACCAGCGCGCCACAGCCTTGCAGCCCCGACCTTCCAGGTGACAGCCGGTCACCCTGGTAGGAGTCAGCTCCGCCCCGAGTCCCCCTCCCGCCCACAGCCCCAGTCCCCGCCCAGCCTCAGTGCCTGCCCGAGGCGAGGCGGTGGCCGCAGAGGGCTGCAGCGCTCCGGCGGGAGGCGGGAGAGGGGACCCTCGGCTGGTGCTCGGTCCGGCGGGCCGCGGTGGAGGAAGGGGTGCGAGCCCGGGAACAGAGGATGCCGGAGTAGCCTTCCCGCCCGCCCGCCCGTCCGCCCGTCCGCCTGTCCGATCGCGGCTGGGCGCCCGCCCCGCTGCCTGCAGCCGGAGCCTCTGACCCCCCCGGGGCACAGCGGCACGGGGCAGGGCCGCGGACGCGCGGGGTCTCGCAGCGTTGAGGCGGAGCGGGGACCCAGGGCAGTAGTTGGCACAGTTTCGGCGGCGCCTACAGAGGGTGCACTGGGGGCGCGGGACCCTGGTGAGGCGCGCGTTATGGAGCCGCCCAGCTGCATTCAGAATGAGCCCTTCCCGCACCCCCTGGAGCCCGAGCCGAGCGCCCCAGGTCAGCTTGGGCTCGGGAAGCCGGGCGACAAGAGGTTCCGGCTGTGTTACGTGGGAGGGTCCTGCCTGGACCGCAGGACCACGCTGCCCATGCTGCCCTGGCTCATGGCCGAAATCCGCCGGCGCAGCCAGAAGCCCGAGGCGGGCGGCTGCGGGGCGCCGGCGGCGCGCGAGGTCCTCCTGGTGCTCAGCGCGCCCTTCCTGCGCTGCGTCCCGGCGCCGGGGTCCGGGGGCACGGGAGGCGCTGGCCCCGCGGCCACGCAGCCCAACCCGGCCGTGTTCATCTTCGAGCACAAGGCTCAGCACATCTCGCGCTTCATCCACAACAGCCAGGACCTCACCTACTTTGCCTACCTGATCAAAGCGCAGCCCGACGACCCCGAGTCGCAGATGGCCTGCCACGTTTTCCGCGCCACAGACCCCAACCAGGCAAGTCCGGGGCGCCGGGGGCGGGCCCGGCCGTGGGGCTGCGAGAGCCAGGCGGAGGAACACGGACCCCATGCGAAGGACCCGCTCCGGTTGGGTGGCGGCGCGCGCTCCACGTGGCGCGCTCGAGCGCGGCGCCCGCGGGTTTCTCGGGACGTGGGAGTGGGAGTGGAGAGGCGGGTTCCGGGGCAGGGTGAGCTGCGGGAGCAGACAGCCCGCAGACGAAGGCGAGCAAGGGAGGGAGCCGGAGGGCGGCTCGGTACTCCGCAGGAGGTGGCGCGTCCGAGGAGGAGTGGGACCCGAGAGGTCTCGCCCGCCAGGCCTTCACGGGTGGGGTGTGTGCGCGCGTGTGTAATTGGGAAGGCCGCAGAGGGTTGGGCTCCTAGAGGCTCCTCTCTAGTGAGGCCACGTCCTGCACCTTAACCCGTTTGGCCAGTCGCGTCCTCGTCCCCGAAGCACCTGCAGAGATCCGTTCCTGGAGGCGATTTCCGAGCCGGGCTTAGGGGAGTGACCAGACGGGAGCAGATTGTCAGAGAGTACGGTTCTGCGTTTGGGGGTAGAGTGGGAAGCAGACTTTGTTTGCAGTTGTTTACACGCACATTGGAGACACACTCAAAACATAGTATTTGGATGATTTAAAAAGCAGTGTAGAAGAGATTTCAAATGTCATTTAAAAGTGTTTTTCTTTTCCATTTTTATCCCACATTCTTAGTCAGAGTTTACTAAATCTAAATGTTCTGTTACTAAACGGAACTTTTACTTCCTTATAAACAGGCAAGAGCCCTTATCTAACAGCCAGAAGAGAAATTTTACCACAGTGATTGTGCCTTTGAAAAGTTTTTTTTTGTTTTAGATATGTAAAGAATCTGCTAAACAATATCAAAGCACCCAAAAAATGCTACTTTAGAAATGGTTATTCAGTGTTCGCAAAGTACCTTAGGTTCTTCAGGGAAAAATATTGCTAGGGTTATCTAAATATAAATAAATAAAGTCTCACGTTGCACCATGTGACATTGTGGAAGTTCTTTTGGTAGCTGGGAAATTAATAATCAGATGAACAAAAATGTTATAAGTAAGGTTTTAACTTTTTCTTGTTTTATAATTCTAGTGCCTATAATGGAAAGACTTTGTTTGACCAATGTTTTTTCACAGAAGGCCTGTAGTGGAATTGAAGAAAAGTTCTTTGCCTTCCATTTTACCAATTACATTGTAAAATAAATATGTTATTAATCCAAAGTCCTTACATGATAGCAATTTTGATTTGTGATCAAATTTTTTTTTTTGCAAATCCTTTACTACAGATTATCTTAAAATCACAACCATGATTCAGTCATTTCATTTTATGCTCATTTGCCCAAAACTTATTCTTAGCTTTCACATATTAAGAATTTGGAAAGGTTTTGCAAGTTATCCCTATCTTTATTGTATTAAAAAGTTCTAGTCCTGACAGTAAGGAGGAATAAACTGCATTTCTCTGGCATTTTGGTTTTCTTCAGTTGTGATAAACACATTCTTGCTAATTTTATTTTATTTTAATTTATTTTTTGGTGCCTGGGATCATACTCGGGACCTTGTGCTTTTGAGGCAGGCAGCGGAACCACAGAACTAAATCCCTGGCCCTCTTGGTAATTTTGTTGCTGATCATGGCATCCTGAGTTCTTAGTAGTGGTTATCGAGTCCCTCCTGCCCTCATTTAATGACAGTTGATTACAAGCAACCTTTTAAAAAACTTCCACTAGATATTTAAGTGTTAGAGCTGAATGTGTTACTACTTCACAAACAACATGTTTAGGCTCATTTTTCCCCTTTAGTCCAGTGGGAGCAATGGCAGCCATATGGCTTTTGATAAAAGAAAATAAAAACCAAATTTCCTTCTTACTGTTATTTCCTAGATAAGTTCTTGATCTGAAGGTGTGGATTCTTATTTGCTCTGAATGAGAGAATCCCTGGCAGACAACAGTTCATTTGAAGGGCCAGATGTGGTCTCCCTAGGGATTATCTCCAGCCATTAATTGGAGGCTACAAACTCAAAAGCCCAGGAAAAAGGTTGAATGAGGACTGTGGAGGACTAGACAGTAGGTGTACTTTCTTGAGGTGTGTATTAGTTATTTTTTTCTTGTTGCTGAGACTAAAATACCCGACACCCAAAGTTAAAGGGGAAAGGTTTATTTATTTAGAGGTTTCAGTCCATCTTCAGCTGGCTCCAAGGCAGAGTGCCACATGGTAGAGAGGCATTGCAGAGGAGAAACAACATGGCTCACACAAAGTAGCAAAAGCAACAAGAGAACCCAACAGTGTCTTTCTGGCCGCCCCTTTTATCTTATTCAGACTACTGGGATTAGGGTGGTGCCAAGCCACTCACTGATGTGTAGTGCTTTAGTAATCATAGGCCCTTAATCCTAGCATCACACATTCTAGATTCACCCACCTATGACCCCATCAGGGTTTGGTGGGGGCATCTAGACCCAAACCATAACAAGGTGCTACTCAGCTTCAGCTGGAAAGTACAGGAGTGAACGCAAGTTCAGTGTGTAGGACCTTCTGATTCCCAAGAGAAAGTAGAAATCTGAATTTTTATGACTCCACATTCAAACTATTGGCAAATACTTTAAACATTTAAGAATCTTCTCTGGGCCAAAAACTCTCCAACTGAGGTATACCCCTAGCCCTTTTAATTTTTAATTTTGAGACAGGGTCTCCTGAGTTGCTCAGGGTGGCACCCAACTTTCCGTTTTGCCTACCCTCCCAAGTAGTTAGGGTTATTGGAAGAGGACCATGGCTTCTGGCTGGCACCATTTTTTTTTTTTTATTTGGAACTGGGGATCTAACTTGGGACCTTGCGATTGTGAGGCGTCAGAACCACGGAGCTAAATCCCCGGCCTGAGGCATCATTGTTTTTGAAGAATTTAAAAACACTCTACAAGTGGTGATTCTGCAGACAGATGTGTGGAAAGGATGAATTGAACCCTTTTTTGTTTTTTTATTTTCCAGGAGTAGGCTTCATACAGAGTAGGCTCTGGCCACCCTTGAAATCAGAAGGAGGAAGACCTGCTGTTTGCTTTTTCCTGAGTTCTTCATTTGAAGCGCAGCCTTGTTTGGCTGGATTTAAGATCATTGTTAAGAGATCCTCCTGTTTTCTGCATTCATTAAACAAAGCCTGGAAGGTGGCTTAGAGGGGCCTGCAGGCCTCTCCCAATCAGCATGCCTCTGCTTTGTCTCTCCTACCTGTTGCTTTTCTGCAATGGACCTAACTGTAGGATGTGATTTATTCATTTTTTGGCAATTTTTATTGTGAAAGATGCCTCACTAATAATTACACGAGCATAACAAGTTACAAACTTGGACTATTCAGGACAAACCCGTGTGTGAGTTCACTATAGCTAAATGACAAAGTTTGTAGTGGGACAAGGTGTCACATGCATATGGTCCCAGCTACTACTCCAGGGCTGAGGCAGGAGGATGATTGAGTTCAAGGCTAGCCTAGACAAATAATAAGATCCCATAAAAAGAGGCAGTCTCCTTTCATGCTGAGCCACTGAGTTGTGATTTCTAATAGAAATCACTCAAATGTCCTTTGACATTTCTAATAGAAATCACTCAATGTCCTTTTGAGGGTGGATCTCCTTGTGACCACAGAGCTGGGATGTAACTTACTGGATATGTCAACTAAAAATGTCATTCATATGTTACTTTAAGATTCTGATGTTGTTTATCTGTCTGAGTAGCTCTTTAAAACTTTTTTTAAAAAACTGAACATTTATTCTTTGAAAATAAACTCTTGATGGGTGATGGTACTGTTCTCCTTTTCCTAGATTTTTGCATTTTAAATTCACAGTAATTGTGTAATGTACGGTACCAGTATTTCCCCCATTTTACAGATAAGAAAACTTGACTCCAGTCAGTCTTATGTTATTCTTCTTTGCATCGTCTAGCAGCTGCTGGATTGATTTCTCATGTTCCTTTACAATTTTAAAGCAATTTTTCTTTTCCTGATCACTAATTGCAATCTTTTCTTCTATATCTGAAATTCTATCCTCACATTGGTTCATTCTGCTACACAGACTTTTGATGGAGTTTTTAATCTCCTGGAAATCTGTTTGCATCTGTTTTATGGATTCCATTTGTTTCCTATGTTGGGATTCCATCATGTTCCTCAGATCCTCTATTTTTTTATCTGTGTCCTCTCTAGATTTATTAATCATGTCTTGCGCCATGAGCAAAATCTTTGCTGTTATCTGAGTAATTATTTCTGATTTCACTTTTCCCAGATCCTCTTTTGTTGCCAGTTCAGGGAGTCCAGGTAGTTGAGTATCGGATTGTTCCATCTCGTTTCCCTTTGGGGTTGCTGTAGGTGATCCAGAAATCTGTTTTTGAGTCTTGTTTACGTGTCTTCTCATTTCGACGGTGGGGGGGGTGCTTCTGGCACCTGTGCAGCCCACCTTCTCTGCCCTAGGAGCTTGGGATGGTGGTGGGGGAGCTTCCTTCTAGGTGCTGGGACCGGCTCACCTTCTCTGCCCTAGGAGCTTGGGATGGTGGCAGGGGAGCTTCCTTCCGGGTGCTGGGACCAGGTCAGCTTCTCTGCCCTAGGAGCTTGGGATGGCGGCCTAGATTTATTTTAAAGCTATCAGTAATCATTACAGCCTGACAGTTGTTTTTGTTTGTTCTTTAAAGGAGGAAGGTGTGATAATTATCTACAGATAAGAAAACTGAGGTATAGAAAGGTCAGATTATTTCCACAAGGTCACAAGACTTGTTATGAATAGAAGGAGACTGCACTCCAGACATATTCTAAAGCCTGTTTTCTTCCTTGCTATGGTAGGATGCAGTTTTTGAAATTAGTTTTTTAGTTGTCAGTGTTATAAACTTCTATGCTGTCACTTTTCCTTCTCATATTAAAGCCACAATGGTTAATTATACTTGTTAAATTTGTAAAATAATTAATGCTGAATATGTATTTGGATATAGTTATCCTGTATGTACTCTCTGTACTCCCAGGCTGGGATTGAACCCAGAGCAGTTGAGAATACTAGGTAAGTACTTTACCACTAAGTTGCAACCTTGCCCCAGTATGTACTTTTTAAAAAATTTGAAAATTTTTCTTTTAAGAGAAAATGTGGTTTTTATACACAATGGAGTACTACTTTGCCATAAAGAGGGTTAAACTTGAGACATTTTGGGTGAATAGATGCACCTCAAGAACATAATTTTAAGTGAAATAAAGCAAACACACATGTTTAAATACTTCATTGTTTCTCTTGTGTGAGAAACCCAGAGTTATAAGGAGCAAAATGGAGGACAGATATGGGAAGTAGGAAGCAAATGTTCAAATGGGAAGGGGAACAAGGGAGAGGGGCAGGAGAAGGAAAAAAGGGAATAAAGATTGAAAAAAAAAGAATGGAAGGAAAACAATGGAAACAAAAGTTTGTAAATAGAAGTGTTGAAGGGAAGGGAAGGGAATGGGAAAAAATGAAAAATTAAGGCATATTGTGTATGGGTACAAATTCCCTGTGATGAATGTCATCATTATGTGTGTCAAAAAGGCAATAAATATCAATAAAAATTTAAA